AACAAATCATCATACACCGTGGGAAAATCAAACAACAATTCTTAAACATGATTAGCACATTCATTGGTGGGAACAGGTTGGGCGGGGGTGATAGGTCACTCCTAAGGAGGGGATACATTCAAACTGATTGGTTTGGGCCCTGAATGCCTACGTGCCAAACTGCACAGGGTCCAGGTTATTTAACAACTAAATGGTCAGTACTGGGCATTGTCTTAACTGCCTCAGGAATTTCAGGTTCTGTGTGCAGTTCAGAAACTTTACAATACCTAGTCCTTTATATTTTAACTCAGGCTTTGCAGCTTAGAAACTTTACCCTTTCAATATTAACTTAATTTCAGCAAGATATGAAAAATTATTTATTCTAACTAGTTATACATGACAGCAGAATGCATTTTGATTCATTGTAAACAAAAGAGGCTCAATTTTTTCATTTCTCTGGTAGCACACAATGTAGAATTGCACCATACATTCAGAAATACATGTACCTAGGGTAAAGATGTTCATCTCATTCCACCAGCTTTCCTACACCCTTGCCCCCTCCCTCCCTTCCCTCCTTCCTTCCTGCCTGCCTTCCTTCCCTTTGCCCAATCATGGATCCTCCTTTCTTCCCATGCTGCCTCCATTATGGATCAACACTCACTTATCAGAGAGAACATTTGACCTTTGGTTTTGGGGATTAACTTACTTTGCTTAGCGTGATATTTTCCAACTTCATCCATTTACTTGCAAATGCCATAATTTTACTCTCTTTTAATATAGAGTAATATCCCATTGTGTGTGTGTATATGCATGCCACAATTTCTTTACTCATTCAAGAATTGAAGGGCATCTAGGTTGGTTCCACAGTTAAGCTATTGTGAATTGAGCTGCTATAAACAGTGATGTGGCTGCATCACTATAGTATGCTGTTTTTAAGTCCTTTGGATATAGGAATGAGATAGCTGGCTCAAATGCTGCTTCCATTCCAAGTTTTCTAAGGAATCTCTATACTGCTTTCCAGAGTAGTTGCACCAATTTGCAGTGCCACCAGCAATGTATGAGTGTACCATTTTCCCACATCCTCACCAACACTTATTGTTGCTTGTATTCTTTTTTAAAATTTGTTCTAATTAGATATACATGATAGCAGAATGCATTTCAATTCATTGTACAAAAATGGGGCACAATTTTTCATTTCTCCGGTTATACATGATGTAGAGTCATACGATTTGTGCAATCATACATGTACCTAGGGTAATGATGTCCTTCTCATTTCACCATCTTTCCTATCCCCATGCCCACTCCCCACTCCACTCCAAGCCTCAGTTCTTGTGCCCCCAGGAAAGAAAATTTAGAGTCAGAAATGTAAAACCAAGCAAGAGAATTTTGTTATAAGTGAAAGTAAAGCTCAAGTGAAGAACACTCTCATGAGATAGAAAGTGGATCATCTCCCTGCAGAAAACAACAAAGGAAACTTGATACAAACTTCCCAATTTGTAACCATTTGATGTTTACCAGAAGAATGGGGGTCTACCTTCTACAATCTTCACCAATCTGATATTTAACTCCTCCTTCACATTGAGTATTATAATTTTTTAACCTAGTTGGTCCTTTCAGTAACTGTCACAGCAACCATCCCATTCAGTGCATCTTCTTCCACAATTCAACCCTATTTAACACAGGTGCTTAGGTCAACAACCAGGCAAACTTTATTTTAGTTTTTATTTGTGCTACTAAAGAAATTTCCCTTCTGTTGTATGTTGAGAGATTTATGGCTATAAATCCTGCATATCAGTAGTTAGCCTCATAGATCTTTCCAAAATTGGCTCCCTTTGTTTCCTCCTCTTTATTTTCAGGGTTAGTATACCTGTTGTTTTTTTCCTATGAGTTACTAGTTTATTTGTTGTTGTTAGTTTTGTGAAGTTTTTTGTTTTGGGGGGGGGGTTTGATACTGGAATTGAACCCAATGGCACTTAGCCACTGAGTCACATCCTTAGTTCCCCACCTTTTTTTTTAATTTTTAAAATTTGAGTCAAGGATTCACTAAGTTGCTTGAGGCCTTGCTAAGTTGCCCAGGCTTGGTTTGAACTTGCTCTCTCCTCCTACAGCCTGACTGCTGCATATTTCTCTTTCTCTCTCTCTTTCTTTCCCTCAGATGATGAACACAGGCTTCAGTGGCCCCCACACTGCTTTCTACAAATGCCATTTCCAGGTCAGTTGGCTCTCTGGCCCTCTAAAGGGGCTATTTCTCACTTTCTCCTCTCTTCTCAAATCCCACTACTGCTTGCCCACTCCTCACTTCTACAGGATGAACTTCTTTCTCTTTTCACTAGAGAAGAAATTAGGACTCAAGTAACAACTGCATCATAATCCCATCACACCTCCCATACCAGAAACTGTCTCCATCTTCTTCCCATTGGTGATGATGGATGGGCTGTTGCTGTCTGAGGCCACCTCTGCCCTTGGGAACAAGACTGGCCCCTCCTTCCCCTATATCATCACTTCCGGATCTGTGGCTCATTCATTCTTGCATCAATCATACTGCAATATCTCCCATTAAAACCAACACAGCTAAACTCAGTAAATAAAGCAAAATCCCTCCATAAAAATCTCCCACCTGTTCCTATGTCTCCCTCCCATTTCTGCCCTATTTCTCTGAAACACTTTATAGAGAGACATCTGAGTCCTTTCTCTCATGTTTTCTTTTTAAACATTGGATTTTTGTTTTTCTTCTGGAACCATGGACAGCATTTGAGAGTTCAAATACTTCTACAAGGCTTGGTAAAAAGACAAATGACCTCAATCTTTCATACAGCCTCATTTCATTTCTTGATCCCCAGAGGCAGCCTACCTTACTTTGTTTGCCTGTTGCTTTTATTGCTACCTCTGTGCCCCTAAACAGAATGCTAATAGGGATTCTTCTTAGTTTTACAGTTTCATTTGCACTTTTAGTGGAAAACTTCCATTCACAGGCCCCTATCAGAGGGCAATCATTTTATAATGTTTATTAGACCAATGGCATTTTCATTATTTGGACTAAGGAAATGTTATTCACAACCAGGCTTGTAGTCTTCATTACTTTCATTGCCTTGAAGTTTTAACTTCACTGCAGTTAATAAAACCATTTTTTTGGCTTAGTTTTTATTTGCTTAGTTTCCATTTTACTCATTACTGGAACTTTCCCAAACTCTTCCCCCATAGTGTCTGCTACAGTTTGAATGTGTATTCCAAAGTTCTCATGTTGGAAACTTGATCTTCAATGTAGTGGTGTGGCTAGATGCGGCCTAAAGGGAGATGGGTGAGTCTTCAAGGTGCTGCTCTCATAAATAGATCTTTACTGTTATCTTGAGAGTGGATTTGACCCTCCCGCTTCTCTTGCCCTCTCTCTTTCTCCTTCTGTTGCATGAAGAAACAACAGGAAGGCCCTAACTAGATGCCAGTGACTTGACCTTGGACTTTATAGCCATAAAAACAGTGAGAAGATAAATTTCTGTTCTTCATAATTTACTCAATATGTAGTATTCTGTTAGAGCAGCCAAATACACTAAGACAGTTTCCATGACTATGTTCAAGCATATCCAGGATTCCACCAACTTGGTCTTTGTGAAGGCACCTGTCCCAGAACCCTCAATACTTCCAGACCTGTACTGGATGCCTGCACACCTAGAATAAGGCTGAATGTGCAGACCTATTCTGCATGATTACACTACTGGTGTGACTCTGTACCATGTACAGTCAGAGAAATGAAAAGTTGTGCTCCATTTTTGTACAATGTATCAAAATGCATTCTACTGTCATGAGTAACTAATTAGAACAACTAATAAAAATTATTCATTTACATAAGCACTTTTTAATTTGTAAGAACTTCTTTTTGTTTTCTTTCTATATATAATTGTGCATAATTACTTGTTCACAAATACCATATCTTTTATATGTTTCAGCAATTATTGAGAACAATGGCAGAGGAACAAGCAAATAAGTTGGGACCAGTTGGGCGCATTCCACGGTTGGCTCAGAGTGGCAGTTCTCAAACAGATCTGTGGAATCCTTGGAGGTGCTTAGACTATTGCAAAGGATCCATAGGATCAAAAAACATTTTTATAATGTCACTAAAATATTATTCACACTAAAGGAAGCTATGATACTAAATTGTAATAGTACTTATTGTGTTCTTGAGTACCTTTTAATTGCAAAAGGGGGAAAAAAGTCAGTTCTCTTAAACATCTGGTTGAAGTATTAAAAATCTTTAATTTTATTAAATTACCATTCCAGAGTCCACATTGTAAAAACACTTAATTGATAGCACAGGAAGTACACATAAAGCACTTCTATTACACTTCAGAATAAGAGTGTTTTTGTCAACAAAAGTCATTTGTTAGGTTGTATTGTTATGCCAGATTTGTGGGACCCCAATAGACCTCCAGGAGCTGAATCAGATGCTAGCACACAAAAATCTTTATTGCAAGCTCGAGCCTGGACTCACAACCATTCCCAATTCAGCCATCCCAGGGAGTGAGTCCTGGTCCTTTGTTCAGTGAGATTTTATAGGTTTTGGGAGGATGCATCTATGCATCACAACATCATACAGCAAATCATTCCATACCTCAGAAAAGTCAAACAACAACTCAATATTGATTAGCACATTCACTGGAGGGAACAAGTTGGGTAGGGGTAATTGGCTAGTACAAGAGGGGGGTTCGTTTGAACTGATTGGCTTAGGCCATGAGGGGTGTACATGCTAAACTACATGGTTTCCCAATATGTTATCAACCACCATAAACTATTGGGGGTCATCTGGCATTCCAAGTATTTTCCCTGTCTCATGCTGATTGGAGGTTGCTAGGGGGGTTGCTATGGGTCCTCACCTAGCCTAACTGAGTCAGGGACACCTGGTGCCTCAGACCTCTCCTGTTATTTACAGACAAACAACTAGCAGGGTGGGTATGTGCTTAGGAGTGCTCTGTGGGTTTTTCCAAGGATAAGGGTCACGCCCCCTTCCTTAGGACAGGCCTTGAGGTAGAAGCTGCTGTTATTTATTTATTTTTTAAAATGGAGTCACATTAGTTACTCAGTATCAGCCATATTTTTTTGGAATATAATTTCTGCTTTTAAAAAATAAATGGCAGAAAAACTATTCTTTAGATTTCAACATTTGGCCAACATTCTAAAAAATGACCTGAGTCTGTCCCTTTGAGATAATTCGCAAACAGCAATATTTTCAATGACAAAGTAGGAAAATCTGAATTCACCACAATCACCTTGACAGACTCCCAAGTACCTACAAACTTTTTGGTAAAATCTGTGGTAATATCAATATATGACCTCTTGATTATTTGCACTTAAATATGTTAACACTAGAAGGTCTGTATAGCTTGATCCATCAATGCGTGACTTTTAAAAATATCATGCATTAGCACAAGATCTATTCAGTATGCAAGACACACCCACAGACTTTAATACAATAGAATATGAACTATTCAATGACAATGTTTCAGGGTCCACATGGCAAAGAAACTTTAGGGAACTAACACTTGTGTCATTTTAGTGTAGTATCAAAGATGAATAGCCATGTTATCAAAAACGTTATTGAAAACTTTCCTCCTACATATTTGTATTAAGCTGCATTTTTTGTTGTTTGTTTCAACCAAAGTCACAGGTTAAATACAGAAGATCTAAATATCTAGCAGTTTTCTAGTGAAAAATAAAAAGGACTTTAAAAGCTGTAAAAAGTAAAATGATCCAGTCTTCCGATTAAATCTTTTAATTTTGGAAAACAGTTAATTCCCTTAAAACTACTGTTAACATGCAAGTAGTTCTCAATACTCTGAAGGAATAAAATATCTTTAAATTGAAATTAATGCTTAACATAGCAAATATCGGTGGACATAATCCACATTAATAGGATTACATCTGGAGTGCACACTACACTTTAACAGCAAATAAAGATCCTGACACCAAAACATTTGTTTACTCCCTGAGGCACGAATAAAGGGTACGGTGTAACAAAGAGCGATTGGTACAGAAGCATATTCCAAAGTCCCAGGTCCCCCAGCTTGGCTCTCAGAATCTAGAGAGGTGTCTTGGGTGTGGACACAGAGCACTGGGGATTTCCCCTTCTGCCTGAAGTTTCACTTCTCACTCTCCCAACCTGGTCCAGGTCTGTCTTCCCAGACACTCTTGACAGGGGCCCAGTTATTACTCCTATTGCGTGTCTTGCTCCTAGAGAAGCGAATCAGCGTCACTTTCACCGAGGTTCAGTTCTAAAGTTTCCACCCACCCGCCTGGACGCAGAATCTTCACAGAGCTGCAGAATGGGGGTAGTGGCTCCCCGAGAGTTGCTCCTGCTGCTGTTGGGGACCCTGGCCCTGACTGACATTTGGGCAGGTAAGTGAAAGGTCAGGAGGGAAATGGCCTCTGCGCGGGAGTAGCTGGCAACAGTCCACTTATAGCTCAGGACCCAAGAAAGCCTATCCTTGCAACCCCCAGCTTAGATCCTCCCCAGCGTGGTGTGGCTGGTCCTGACCCTCCACTCTCCCCTAAGTCCTGCCCTCCCGCATCCCATCGCCCCTTTTGTATCTCTGGAGCCTACTCCTCTCCTCCTGGTGTTGTCAACCTGGACCTGGGTTGGGGACCAGAAGAGGGTGCACTTGGTCTCAGTTTCCCAGCCTACAGGCTCACACTCCTTGAGGTATTTCGACACCTCCGTGTCCCGACCGGGTCACGGGAAGCCTCGCTTCATCTCCGTGGGCTACGTGGACGACACGCAGTTCGTGCGCTTCGACAGCGACGCCGAGAATCCCAGGGAGGAGGCGCGGGCGCCATGGATAGAGCAAGAGGGATCTGAGTTTTGGGACCAGATCACACAGATTTCCACGAGCAACGCACATCATCACCTAGTGTGCTTGAACAACCTGCGCGGGTACTACAACCAGAGCGAGGGCGGTGAGTGATCTCTGGCCGGTGTCACACCTCCGATGTTCCTCGTGGATGGTCCCAAGTTGGCAGTGATTCCCTGATTCTAGCTTCACTCCAAGAATGAGGGACCCATGGAGATCCTCGAACCAGAAAGTGCCCACAGGGACTGTGACCGGGTTTCGTTTACATTTAGTGGGGGAAACCCATGGGGTGGGCGGGGTGGGGTCGTGGCTGATGCCCGGGGATGGGGGGACACAGGCTCTCACATACTCCAGAGGATTTGGGGCTGTGACGTGGGGCCAGACAGACGCTTCCTCCGCGGGTACAAGCAGTATGCCTACGATGGCAAGGATTACATCTCCCTGAATGAGGACCTGAGCTCCTGGACCTCAGCGGACGCAGCGGCACTGAACACCCAGCGGAAGTTGGAGGCAGCCGGTGACGCAGAGCACAGCAGGGCCTACCTGGAGGGCACCTGTGTGGAGGAGCTCCTCAGATATCTGGAGAACGGGAAGGACACTCTGCAGCGCTTAGGTATTAGAGGCTGTGGGACGCCTGCCTGATCTCCTGTAGATCTCTCCACTCTCTTCCCACGGGAAAGGGAGGAGAATAACACTCACACTAGAACACCACCCTGCTCTTCCTCCAGAGGGAAGTGAGTCTGCCAGGTGCTGTACTGAGAGGAACTGAAGGCTGCTTTCTCTCAGGACAAGTAAGGGAGCTGGTCTCTCTGTCCCTGACTGGTGGGAAAGACAATAAATAACTGACCACAGTTCCCCTGGCATATACGGTCAGGTTCACTCCAGCCTATTGTCTTTGAGGTGTGACTCCAACTTTTCAACATCTCTCAGCCGCCACTCAGATCAGAACTCTAAGTCCCCATCAGACACCTGAAGCCTCTTACACTGGGTTGTCTCAACAAGATTCTAGAACTTTCCAAGGAATAGGAGATCATGCCAGAAGCTTCAACCCAGACTTGTGTCTAAGTTTTGTGCTCCCTCCCCAACCCAAATTGTGCTGTCCATTCTCCAGATAGTCATGTGAGCACTGCTTCAGTGATCCAGGAGTGGTAATGCAAAAATGTCTGAATTTCCCTATTCTTTCCCTCAGACCCCCCAAAGACACATCTGACTCACCACACTAGCCCTGATGGAGATGTCACTCTGAAGTGCTGGGCCCTGGGATTCTATCCTAAGGAGATCACCCTGAACTGGCAACGAGATGGGGAGGACCAGATCCAGGACTTGGAACTTGTGGAGACCAGGCCTGCAGGGGATGGAAACTTCCAGAAGTGGGCAGCTGTAGTGGTGCGTGCTGGAGAGGAGCAGAGATACACATGCCATGTGCACCATGAGGGGCTGCCGGAGCCCCTCATCCTGAGATGGGGTAAGGAGGGGATGAGGGCCCAGAGCCTGTTGTCAGGAAGCAGGAGACTTTCTGGAGATCCTCAGCAGGGTAGGGATTGAGAACTGGGGATGAGGACCCCTCACCTAACTTCCCTACCTCTCCCAGAGCCACCCTCTCAGCCCATCATGGGAATTGTTGCTGGCCTGGTCCTCCTTGGAGCTGTTGTCACTGGAGCTGTAGTCCCTTTTGTCTTGTGGAAGAAGAAAAACACAGGTAGGAAAAGTGCAGGGTCTGAATTTTTGTTCCACTGGTGGTTTCAAGTACCTGATAGAAATGTGCCCTGCCTTGTTCATTGGAAGTAATAGCTACATGTGTCCTTACCCAGCCTGGGATGCTGTTTAATCTTTGTAAAACATATAAAAAATAAAAGACAAGTTATGCTTTTGGGGGGTGGGGTGGATACCAGGGATGAATGCAGGGGCACTCAACCACTGAGCAACATCCCCAGCCTTATTTTGTATTTTATTTAGAGACAGTATCTCACTGAGTTGCTTAGCACTTCACTTATGCTAAGGCTGGCTGTAAACTCATGATAAACTCACCTTAGTCTCCTGAGGTGCTGAGATTATAGGCATGGGCCACCACACCCAGCAAACTTATCTTCTTGATTTTTGTGGTGAAAAGGACCTGATTCCCAACATTTAGAGGCCGGGTGGGAATTTCCTGCTCAGGGCAACCCTCCAGGAGAGAAATTGGTGCCATTCCTATCTATCTACTTTCTTCTTGCATCCTAATTCTTCCCTACATCTGCAGTCACAGTTCTGGAGACTGTCCCAGTGTCCAGCACTAGGGGGCACCTCTAAGACCTGTCTTTAACCTGTTCTGTCACAGGATGTTTTCTTCCCAAAGGAGTAAAAAAAAGGACCTATGCTTCAGCTGCCTGTAAGTACGAAGAATAGTGATCTCCAAGGCCCTTGAGTTAGTGTAGTGGGAAGTAATGGGGAAGCTGATCCATCCCATAATTCCTTCATTATCCACATCTCCTGTGGACTCTGACCAGGTTCTCTTTCTGTTCTGCTCAGGTAATGACAGTGCCCAGGACTCTGATGTGTCTCTCACTGCTTAGAAAGGTGAGATCCTGGAGGGCCTAAAGAGGGAGAGGGGTTGGGGAATGGGGAGACTCCTGAGTTACAGGGCCTCTCACAGGGATTTTTGACATTTTCAGTGTATAATGGGTTGTTCAGAGTGTCTTTATTACAATTGAGTGATCTGAATTTGTTCATAATACTTTCTTTTTTAAAAAACATTTCTTTAGAGAGAGAGAGAGAGAGAGAATTTTAATATTTATTTATTTTTTAGTTTTCGGTCACAACATCTTTGTTTGTATGTGGTGCTGAGGATCGAACCCGGGCCGCATGCATGCCAGGCGAGCACGCTACCGCTTGAGCCACATCCCCAGCCCCATAATACTTTCTTTTACAGTGAGAGACAGCTGCCTCTGTGAGACTGAACAATACAGGATTTCTTCAGTTCTCTTCCTGCTTCCTACTGCAATTTCAAGGAGTCCCAACTTTTCTTGGTGCAGCTGAAATGTACCTGTCTATGCGTCTGTATTCCTGTGATAATAATGTGAGAAAATGGAGGAGAATATCCCACCAAGACCCCTTCCACACTATTCTGTTCTCTTCCTCAATCAACTTTCCTATGGTGCAAATTGGGGCTGAGATGTCTCCATTCCTGATTTAGCCTTTTGTTGCCCTGAGCTGTAGCTGCTTCTTTCCCTGTTGAAAAAATGAATCTGAATATTGATTTCTATTTCAAATTTGTGCCATGAAATATGGTCAATAGGTTAATTAAATGGAAGGAAATTTCCTAAAATCAATAAAGAAAATAAAACCTGAAACCTTATAGAATCCATGTGTTTGCTGTGCTGAGTCTGCTGTGGGTGGGGACAGGAGAATGAGGAAAGCAGCTGAGCATGGACATGGTAGCACCCAGACTGGGCTCAGTCCACTCTGGGCCTTGATGTCGTCCCTCCTCAGCTGGATCATCTTCCCTGTACCTTAGTCCTGTCCCTTTGATTGACCCTCATCCCATCAGGACCTGTGATGACAGGGACTCAAGCATTCCCAGGGCTGGTCCTGTCTCCAGGACCATGGGTAGGGAGGTCTTCATGCCACAGGGTTAACATAGACTAAGACCTGAGTCTAATCTTCTGCTCCCATCTAATTTTGCTTCTCGGTTTCTACAGAGAATTATCCTTGTTTTTGTGATTAAGTGTGAGTTCTGGTCTCATCTCCTCTGGGTTGTCTCTCATCTTGACAGCAGCAGGAGTTTTGTCTTTTTTTTTTTTTTTTGTCGTTTTGTTTTGTTTTTCCTGTCATTGTCCCACAAAACCCAGGCCAGTTTCCTGGATTGTATTTTCCATCATTCCTCCAATATTTTTAAGGGAACCATAAAAATAGCTGAGAGGAAGAATCTCATGATTTCTCATCTTAGATAAAATCCTCTGAGGATTCTAATCTTCCCTATTAGCAGTTTCACTGCCTTTAGTTGTACTAATCCTAGCATTTGCTTCATTTCTGATTTCTGGATTGATAACACAGAGTCTAATACAGGCTTCTAGTTAGTTGGAAAACATGACGTATTGGTCAAGGATCATCTTGTTCTGAAGATCAAAATGTCCTTCGCTGCTGTAGAGAGCAGGAGGGCTGATATGGAGGGAGGGAGGGCAGCACTTGTGAGAAAAGCACAAATGGCTTTGGCCTCAGTGTGAAAAGCCTTGTGCTGCAGATGCCACAGCAGCATTTGATCTGAGGCTCCATTAATAAAGACAGTGTCTCTAGAAGAGGGAGGGCTGACACTGATCATTCATTCAGCTCTCATTGATTGAATACTGAGTAGATGGCACACAGTTCATACCTAGTATACATTGGGGAACCGAAAACAAACCAAAAGTGCCACCCTTATGGAGCCTGTGTTCTATAGGAAAGAGGAAGAAGATATACTCTAAGCACAGTAAATAAGGACAGTGTTCATGTTAGGTGTTAAGTATTGCTAGGCAGGTGTCAGAGTGGGTTTGTGGGGACAGAGAAGATGGCTGTTTTACTAGGGGGCTCAGCATGGGACTTATTAGCAAGGTGACATTTGAGGATAGACTTGAAGGACATGAAGGAATTTGTCAGGATGTTTGGAGGAAGATCTTACTTACTAGGCAGGAGGAAGCTCCAAAGCAAATGCACCAGGGCAGGATCCTGTGTGTGTGTTCTGGGGAGAGAAAGGATTTGGGATGTACTGAGCAGAGTCACTGAGAAGAGTTCAGAGGCACCACCAGTCTCAGAACTATCTGGAGTTTGATGGAAGAATCCTGCATGAGTTAGGCAGTTTTGAGCAAAGTCATGGTTCATCTTTCCAAAGCATCAATCGTATGATTGAGTTGAGAACAAAATTGAGATGGGAGGACTAGCAAGGCAGCAGGGAAACTGTAGGGAAATAATCAGTCCTATGTGGAAAAGCTGGGGTCACACCTCTAAACTCACTGGACTGCAATGGACCTGACAACCTTTCTTGATACCAAGACTTCTGCCAGGGAACTGTGTGCTCAGTTGTTTATTGTCTTTCCCACCAGCCAGGGAGAGAGAGGCAGGATCCATTGCTTGTCCTGAGAGAAAGCAACCTTCAGTTTCTCCATATTACAACATCTGGGAATTCAGGCCAACTCACTTCCTTCTGGTTTGGAACAGGGTGTTGTTCCAGCATGGGTGTCATTCTCCTCCCCTCCTTGTTGGAACTAGCGGAGAGATCTATAAGACATCAAGCAGGTGTCCTGAAGCCGCTCATACCTATGCCCTGCAGCATCTCCTTCCCATTCTCTGGGTATCTGGCCAGGCACTCCACACAGGTGCCCTCCGCATAGGCCCTCTGGTGCTCTGCGACGCCTGCATCTTCCCCCTTGAGCCAGGTGATCTGAGCCTCCTGTCAGCTGCTGTCCAGGAGCGCAGGTCCTTGTTCAGGGCGAAGTCATCGCCACCTTAAGCGTGCTGCTCATACCCGCGGAAGAGGCGCCCATCTGGCCCCACGTTGCAGCCATACATCTTCTGGTATTGTGAGAGTCTGTCCCTGCCCCACGGTCATCCGCGTCTCCGCCCCACACACCCTACGGGTTTTTCCTCTAAAATGAAAACGTAACCTGATCACAGTCCCCGCAGGCGTTTTCTGGGTCGAGGGTCTCCGAGGGTCCCTCAGCCTTGGGGTGAAGCTCGGCTTGGGGAATCCCTGTCGACTCAGGACCATCCTTGAGGAATAGGAGCCAGCCGTCGCGACCTCCGACAAGGGCCCTGTCATTCACCACCCTCGCTCTGGTTGTAGTAGCCGCTCAGGGTGTTCAAGTCCACTCCGTAAGTCTATAGGTCTTCCTTGGCTTTCTGTGTCTCCGTTCCCAATACTCAGGCCCTTCCTGCTCTATCCAAGGCGCTCGCGGCTCCATCCTCGGGGTCTTGGAGTCGCTGTCAAAGAGCACGAGTGTCGTCCACGTAACCCAAAGAGATTAAACGGGGCTCCCCGCGGCCAGGCCGGGACACGGAGGTGTCGAAATACCTCATGGAGTGGGAGCCTAGGGGAGGGAAGGGACTAAGACCCTCGAGACCCTGCTATCCTCCTCAGGCGCCTGACCCAGGTCCCAGGTTGACAACGCCAGGAGGAAAGTGGAGTCTAGAGGCTCTAATGGGGCGGTGGGACGCGGGAGGGCAGGATTTAGGGGTGGGAGTGGACGGTCAGGAAAAGCCACACCAGGGTGGGGAAGGTCTGGGCCAGGGGCAACAGGGGACATGGCTTCCCGGGTCCTGCGTGCTCAAGGGATGTAGGTCGTTTCCCTCCCGGCCTCACACTCACCGGGCCCAGGGCCAGGCCAGGGCCAGAGCTCTGAAGGCAGCAGGAGCAACTTTTGGGGAGCAACTCTGCAGCTCTGGGGCCAGGGACTGGGGGGGTGGGGTGAACTTTAAAACCGAACATCCGTAACGTTATTGGCTTTTCTAAGAAAAAGAGACGCAATGGGAGTAATAACTGAGGTCGCATCAGATGTGTCGGGGCAGAACGACATTACCCAAGTTGGAAGAAGAAGAAATGAAAGTCCAGGGAGATGGGGAATCCCCAGTGCTCTGAACCCACACCCAGACCCTGAGAACCCCGCCCAGGGCTGGGACTTTCTCAGAACACTCCTCTTAATAAACATTCTTTGTTACACCATACCTTCCTTGATTCCTGACCCAGGGTGTAAATCATCAGTTCTCAAGCGTTTTGTTTTCAGAGATCTTTATATGCTCTAAGAAAGTTAGTGTGCCTTCCAGAGGTAATCATGCTTTTGTGGATGATGTCTATCAATATTTGCCATATTAGAAATTAATTCCATTTTAAATGTTTTTTCTTCTAAGTATTAATAAGTTATTGAATGTTAAGAGACAAAATAATTTTAAAAAGAAATAAGTGTTTTCCAAAATTAGAAGATTTAATTGGAAGACTGGATTGTTTTACATTTTACAACTTTGAAAGTCCTTTCTATTTGTCATTAGAGAATGCTAGATAGTGTATTTCCTCATTTAGTCTGTTGGGGAAAAAAAAGTGTAGCCTTACACAAATGTGCAGGAGGAATATTTTTAATAACATTTTCAATAACTGGCTGTTCATCTTTGATTTTATACTAAATTGACACAAGAGAGTCACAGAAGGAAAAGAACTGTTCCAAGATGCATGTTGAATGGATGGCCAAGATCCAGAATAAATGAAGAACATTTACAACTTATTAATGAGACAGACAACACTTCACTCCATGGAGGTGAATAAAAGTTCACAGGAAAAGCTATGCAAGTCACTAATAAGTACTTGAAAAGATGCTCACCTTCACCAGGTATCACAAGGTATTACTTCACATCAACTAGAATGAACAGCATGAAAAACACTTATGAAAATAACACATATGAAGAGGATGTCAGCAGTTGGAAATCTTATATATGCTGCAAGGAATGTGAAAAAAATTACAGCCCATTTGTAAAACAGTATCACAATCCCTGATACTATTAAAAATACACGTACCATATGACATAATAATCCCATCCTTAGGCATTTATACGAAAGAAAAGGAAGCATCATAATACTAGACCTTAAACTATACTACAAAGCTATAATAACAAAACAGCATGATATTGGCACCAAAGTGACACATAGACCAATGACACAGAATGGAAGAAACAGAGACAAACCCACATAAATACAGTTATCTCGTACTAGACAAAGGTGCCAAAAACATACAATGGAGAAAAGATAGCCTGTTCAACAAATGGTGCTGGGGAAATTTTAAATCCATATGCAGCAAAATGAAAATAAACCTCTATCTCTCACCGTGCACAAAACTCAATTCAAAGTGAATCAAGGAATTAGACAGATGAAAGAAATTAAAGGGATATGGATAGGAAAAGAAGAACTCAAATTAGCACTTTTTGCTGATGATATGATTCTATACCTAGAAGATCCAAAAAATTCCACCAGGAAACTTCTAGAACTAGTAAATGAATTCAGCAAAGTAGCAGGATACAAAATCAATACCCATAAACCAAAGGCATATCTGTATATCAGTGGCAAATCCTCAGAAAGGGAAATAAGGAAAATTACCCCATTTACAATAGCCTCAAAAAAATAAAATACTTGGGAATCAACCTAACAAGAGAGGTGAAAGACTTCTACAATGAAAACAATGAACACTAAAGAAAGAAATTAAAGAAGACCTTAGAAGATGTGAAGATCTCCCTTGTTCTTGGATAGGCAGAATTAATATTGTCAAAATGGCCATACTACCAAAAGCATTACACAGATTTAATGCAATTCCAATCAAAATCCCAATGATATTCCTCATAAAA